AGAGAGAGAGAGTATATTTGCAAGGTGCCATATTCTTCGGTCATTGGGAGTCTCATGTACGCGATGGTTTGTACGAGGCTGGACATTGCCCATATAGTAGGAGTTGTGAGCAGGTTTGCAAGCAATCTAGGGAAGCAACATTGGAAGGTCGTGAAGTGGATATTGTGGTACCTGAGAGGGAAAACGAACAAACCACTATGTTTTCAGGAGGAAGGAGTTAGTGATGCAGGGATACGTGGATGCGGACTACGTCGGTGATCATGATACGAGGCGGAGCACTACAGAGTATGTTTATACTTTGGTGTCGACAGCAGTGAGCTGGGTCTCACGTCTGTAGAAGATTGTAACTTTACCTATAACCGAGGCTGAGTATGTCACGGTGACTGAAGCAAGCAAGGATATGATTTGGTTGGCTGGATGTTTGGAAGAGTTGGATCTGAAGCAAGGGAGAGGAGTTCTTTATTGTGATAGCCAGAGCACCATACACCTCGTTAAATCTGGTGTGTTCTTTCTTGTTTACTTTCCTACAAGTTTTTATCTTTTATTAGCAGTGATTTCCCTACTTTCCTACTCTCAACACAAGATCCGGAAGGGCACAGATTCGATTTGATTGTTTTGAATCCCCAACAACTAGTATCAGAGCTTCATTCAGCAAATTTGTTAGAGAGAGCCATGGCAGAGGAAATCAAATCTAAGATCGAGAAGTTTGACGGCTCAGACTTCACCTTTTGGAAGTCGCAGATGGAGTACTATCTGTACCAGAAAGACTTGTATTGCCCGTTGATGGGCAAGGATAAGGGACAGAAGAAAGAGGAGTCAGACGATGATTGGGAGATACTGGATAGGAAGGCTCTAGGGAAAATCCAGTTGTCGCTCGCCAAGATATTCGCACACAATATATTAAAGGAGAAGACGACGATAGGGCTTATGGAAGCGCTCGCGAAGATGTACAAGCAACCGTCTGTAACAAACAAGGTGCATCTCGTCAAAACTCTTTTCAACCTCAAGATAGCAGAAGGATGGTCCTTGTTTGTTGGAAAATTTGTAAGAAGACAATTAAGAATATAATTTATTCTATTATCTCTCTAACTAGCTTAGACAAAAGATGAATACAATTCTTTTAATACAATTTCTCTCTAACTAACTTAGAAAAAGAAATTATAATCTTATTGTATCGGAATCCCGATTTACAAAAGAGAAGAATATCGGCGGAGATCCTCCCCTTTGTTTAATTCTGGGTTCTTCACGGTGGCGATGGAATGCCTCCCTCGAATACTCGTGTCGAGTTTGCTTTCCGTTGACGATCCAAACATATTGTTTTACTGGAACGTAGTTGATTCCTCTTGATTGATGTAGGATAACTTGCATGGAAAGTTTAAAAATAACTCTTTAAGAGTTTAAAAACTCAGAGCGAGTTTAAACTCTGTAACAGAGTTGATTTGAACTGAAAATCGGTTTTTAAGCCAAGTACCAAGCTCCAAGACATTTGTTGCCAAAGGACGTTCTAAGATGATCTGCTCAATAAATTGTCGATCTCTCCTTTTGTGATCTTTTTTTATGCAAAAAGTCGATCCCTGACCTCAATTGAGTTTCTGGTATTTTTAGGGGATTAAGGGGTGTAACCGTCCTCTTAATTCTCTCCATAATGGGGTTGAATGGGGTGTAACCGCCCCCTTAATCATCTCTTAAGTGGGGCGGAAATCAATTAAATCGTGGGGAGAAAACAGTTTCTGGAACCGTTCAACTTGTGTTTAAACGAGTCAAACGCTGAAAACAACGTTCTGGGCCCAAAATCTGTGTTTTAGACCTGAAACACAGAGTTGAGCATTTCCAGTTGGCTCAGATTCAGTTGCCATAACACTTTTTAGATCTGGAACGTAGAGTTGGGTTCTGCGTTTTGAACTAAAAACACAGCAATGAAGTTTGTGTTTGGATGTTGCAACATAGGGAGGACCTCTGCATTTTGATGTTGCAACGTAGGGAGGACCTCTGCGTTTTTGATGTTGTAACGCAGGGAGGATCTCTACGTTTTTGATGTTGCAACGCAGGAAGGACCTCTGTGTTTTAATGTTGAGGACCTATGCGTTTTTAATGTTGCAATGCAGGAAGGATCTCTGCATTTTTAATATTGCAACGTGGGGAGGACCTCTGCGTTTTGATGTTGAAACGCGGGTCTGACCTCTGCGTTTTGAGGTTTAAACACATGTCTGACCTCTGCGTTTTGATCGAGGACATCGACGTACAATACCATTTCATACGCTCGCTTATCGAGGATAGGAAATTACATTTAGAGAAGATTTTGGGGAGTTAAAATTCTACGGATATGTTGACGAAAGCAGCAACCATTGATAAAAATTGGTGTTGTACGTAACTTCAGTTGGCCTTCATGCGTAGGAGATGAAGGCAGAGCCACACTAGGAGGATCGTCGGGATCGTCGGGTTGATGATGATTGAAGAATGGATTTTTTCAAGTAGGAGAAGATGCTTGCAAAGAAGACAGAGTTCGGGAGAGCTCATTGATGGTGGTTTTGGTCTCAAAGTGGGAGATTGTTAGTCTTGAGAGTGGAGACCCAAACCTAGAATGAAAATCAATAAACATATAAAAATTCAAGACAGGCCACAGGTGTGGCGCGCGTCACACATTGGTGTGGCAAAATCTGCCTTTGTGTTTTGAAGACAGGCCACAGGTGTGGAGCGCGCCACAGGTGTGGAGCGCGCCACACCCTGGTATGGTAGAATCTGCCTTTGTATTCTGAAGACATGCCACATGTGTTGTGCGTGCTACACCCGGGTGTGGCAGACTCGTTTTCAGAATCCTAATCTGTTTTGGATTGTGTTTTGATATAAGTAGAAACACGTCCCTCTAGGGTTTAGGAGAAAAAAAAGAACACGAAAAAAGAGGATTTTGAGGGCTCTTTGAGATCAGAAATCTTAGAGAGAGAGGCCAATTGCGAGCATTATAATGTTCTTCAATTAATCAAAGAATTATGTGGTGTGGCTCCCGAGGATGTAGGCACGTTGCCGAACCTCGTTAAATCTGGTGTGCTCTTTCTTGTTTACTTTCCTGCAAGTTTTTATCTTTTATTAGCGGTGATTTTCCTACTTTCCTACTCTCAAAACAAGATCCGGAAGGGCACGGATTCGATTTGATTGTTTCGAGTCCCCAACAGGTACTCATAAGATGCATTTGATTTCATGGGACAGAGATTGTGCTTAACTAAAGAACAGGGAGGTCTTTGGGAGTGCCAATGTCTGCTACTAGACTTACCTACAACCCTATCAAGAGCCTATTACTAAAATTGAAAATAGGATTAAAGCTTGGGGTTTCCATTCCTTATCTTATGCAGGGAGGCTTGAACTAGTAAAATCTGTTCTCTTCAGCTTGCATATATATTAGACAAGTGTGTATATGTTGCCTAAGAAGGTACTCGAAAGAATTGACTCCGTATGTTGTCAATTTGTGCGGGGGAAGAGAGAGGGTACTCATAAGATGAATTTGATTTCATGGGACAGAGATTGTGCTTAACTAAAGAACAGGGAGGTCTTGGATTGATTAAAACATAGTTATGGAAAAAAGTGGTCATAATTGAACTGTTATGGGCTGTACACTGCAAAGAGGATCATTTATGGATTAGATGGGTACATTGTCAGTATTTGAAGAGGGCTAATATATGGGAGGTGAGAGCAAGAGTGGTTGGTTCTTGGCTGTGGAGGAGGAAGATATTACGGGTAAGGGATTGGATAATAGTTAGATTTGGAAGTGTTGATCACGCTGTTGCATATAGATTAGCAGTTTGAGAAGTGGAGAGAAGCTAAAGCTCAGCTATGTTTATAATTATCTGTTCTATAGCCAACCTGATATTGGATGGCCGGGGGTCTCTTATTTGGGATAATTTAGCTATCCCTAGGCCTTCTTTTGTGCGTTGGTTAGCTTTGTGTTGACGGTTGTTAGCTCAGGACAGAATCCTATATATTATTTGGAGTGATACAAGAGAGTAAGTGTATCTCGTGTGGACATGGAGGAGGAGATATATATTGATCACTTATTTTTTCTATTGTCCATTTGCTGTGATTGTGTGGAAGAAGATGCTGCAATGGCTGAAAATTCATAGAAACCCCATGAACTGGGGACAAGAAATTGAATGGTTGTGCAGATGGAGGAGGAAGACATCCATGAAATTTAAACTTGTTGTGCCTGCACTTGTCATCCGTTGGGTGAAAGGAAACAGGAGAAGATTCCAACAAACTAGCAGCAGCTCACTGACATAGTTCGGAGAATAAAGTTTGACATTATGGCTAGCTAGGGTGTCGAATACTAGCGCGTCTCCTCAGGTTAGAAGAAGTTGGGTCTCTGGTCTGTAACCTCTATCTGTAATGTGTAGAGGTGTGTGATGGTAAGTCGTTGATTTGAAAGCACCAGGTATGCATGGGAAGGGAATGTATCTATAATTCTCATTTGGTTAATGGAAGTTATTCATTTACCAAAAAAAGAAAAAGAAAAGGAAGCCGTTGCTAAATAATGAGGCATCCTAGACGGTAAATTCCGTCTAGGATACCCAGAATTCCGTCTAGAATGCGTATCCTAGACGGAATTCCGTCTAGAATACGCGTCTAGTATGTTTCCGTCTAGGATGTAGTATTCTAGACGAAAATTCCGTCTAGAATACATCCTAGACGGATTATTCTAGACGGAATTTCCGTCTAGAATAATTCATCCTAGACGGAAAAAATTCTGTCTAGAATGAGTATCCTAGACGGAAATTTCCGTCTAGAATACTTATTCTAGATGGAAATTGATGTTTTTTAATTTTTTTTTTAAAAAAGACATCCTAGACGGAATTTAGTATCCTCGACGGAATTTCCGTCTAGGATACTATGCTACAGTATTTTTTTTTTTTTGCAGAATCTATTTTGGGTGCATGTACACAATATTGAACAACAAAAAATTATATTCATATGCAACACAATCTAATTATATTCCAATATCAAATCTCATTATATTCAAATAATACATTCACCAAAATAGTAGAGAGATACATAAATTGTTTACAAACTTTTACATAAATTATTTACAAGAGGATCTGTATGCTCCATCGCACAACATTACGCACAATTCCTCCTCTTTGGAAAAATCGAGCAACAACAAGAGCTACATCCTCTGCGGGCTGTGAGGATCTGGTGAATCCCAACTTTTAAACCCGTTAATACGTATAATCATCAAAAGTATAATATAAATACAGAAAAAACATAAAAAAGAAAAATGTAAAAGAAAATTTTAGAAAAATACCCACCAGCCAGTCCAATTTTCTGTCCACATCTTAGGACTCGTTTCATTGTTTGGCTTGAAGCTATCACAATAAAAACCATTGCAAGTATTTATCTGATAAACCAAATAAAAATATAAGTTTCCCTCAAAAATATTAAAGTAGATTAAAAAAGTAATTTTATTGTAATAAAATTTTTTAAATACCATTGGTTGAGGAGCATCATCTTGTTGACACATAATCCATGGTACACCAACATTGAGAGCTTCTGCCATTTGTGCACTCCACAAAATGTATCTTTTTCCAGCATCTTTAAAGGGTTTTTCAACATTACCATACTCATTCTCAATCTATTTTTAAAAAAATTAAAAAAATCAGAATAATACTATTTAAAAACGAAATAAAGTAGTTTGTTTCTTTTACATGTTTCATACTTGAGTGAGAATGATAGGCCCTCCTTGTGGTGCCAAAAGGCTTTCTATTTTAACCATGTCTACAATTTTAGTGACGAACTTTTGCATTTCATCCTGCAAGATAAAAATATTGGGGAATCATAAAAAATTGGAGTCAAAATAGCTAATTCAATAATAAAAAACATTTAAAAAATTATTTTTACCTTAAATGGCTGGTTATCAGTCCTGAACTGCATTCCAGGTATTTGTTGCAACCATGCAGGAAGTCCTCTGAAAATGGGAAAAATTAACATAATTCAAAAAACTTATAATAAAGATAATTATATAAAAATGATTATATAATTTTGACATTACCCATGATTCCATTCAGCACAAACATAAGATCCAATACGCAAAATTGCATACATTCCAAATATACCTTGCCAACTGTTCCATCAACAGAGGATCCTCCGGCATAAAGAACACCATCTTGAATTTGTAGTGCAAGAATGGTTTGTTTCCCCAGTAGCTTTCTTGTTCCTGAGTATAACATAGTTGATGTGCATTTGGACAAATCCACTTCCTGCAGATTCACACACTCTGTCAGTCATTGCATTTGGACAAAAAACCTCTTAACAACATGATGTTAACTAAGCATATACTAGAGCATCTCAACAAGTACTGTGATCTCAAAAGGTCATGACCAGACACCAGATTTCAGAAGACATTCACATAAGCAAGCACGACAATGATATAGCAAGAAACATGACCAGACACCAGATTTCAGAAGACATTCACATAAGCAAGCACGACAATGATATAGCAAGAAACACAAATCATTAGCTACGTGTTCTATATAACTGACAGATTTGAAAATATAATATTGCTTATGTAACATCTCAAACAAATTGAGCAAATACAGTATTAAAAACCTGATTAATTACCGGGAAAAGTTGCACAATTTATCGAAACAATGGAATCAAATTTTATTTAAATAGGAAGGTAATAAGGAGCAGCAATCGGATAAACTTTGGATATATTTGTGGGGAGCTAATACAGACTCAGGAAGAACTACAGTTTACGAACTCCATATATTTGTGGGAAGCTAAGCTAATATTAACTTAGGAATCTGTGGGTATTTTGGCACGTAATTGCGTCCAATCCAAATAAGAAAGTTACATTATGGCTTAAGTCACCAACTACAATTCCTAGTTTTCTTATGAATTACTTTACAGAACAATCCTAACAATTTGCAGCAATTTATCAGCTTTCTCAAGGAATATTTATCTGAAACATCACTGACCAAAAGAAATGAAAGCACGTGAGAATTACCTGTTGGAATATCAAATTAAAATGTTAGAATAAATGAGGTTAATAGCATGAGTTTTAGAAGTGCAAGGGTCATAAGTTTAGAAGGGGAAGAGACATAGGTTATGGAAGAATAAGAGTACCTTACTCATTTATGATATTTATCTTTATGGCATTAAAATAGGAGTTTAATTTGTGACTATTGGTATGCCTAGACGTTTTTGTTTTTGAAGCCTATATAAAGGGCTATTGTAATCCTTGTTTGATATGAAGAGAGAAAATTGAAGAAATATAAGTGAGTTCTTCATTTGAACGAGTTCTAAGTTCGTAAACTTAAGAGTCATCAGTGGTATCAGAGCCACTTGATCCAATTTTCCCATTCTCTCTTCTTCTCATGGCTACCACAAATAATCTTGTCAATCCTCAAGTGCCCAAATTATTAAAAGATAACTATGAGAGTTGGTCAATCCAAATGAGAGCCTTATTTGGTTCTCAAGAGTTGTGGGAGCTGATCATTGATGGGTTCACGGAACCTACACCAGAAGTAGAAGCCACCTATACCGCCGAAGAGAAGAAGGCTCTCAGAGAACAAAGAAAGAAGGATAGCAAGGCTCGTTTTCTACTCTATCAAGGGTTGGACGAGTCTACCTTTGAGAGAGTTGCTGAAGCAACGACAAGCAATGAAGCATGGGAAATCCTTGCAACCATCTACAAAGGTGTCGAGCGGGTGAAGCGAATTCGCCTCCAAACTTTGAGGGGCGATCTTGAAGCCGCTCAAATGAAAGATGAAGAACAAATCTCCGATTATTATTCACGATTACTTCTAATTGTGAATAAAATAAGGAGAAATGGAGAGAAGATGGAGGACATCCGAGTGATGGAGAAGTTGCTCAGATCCCTCACATCAAAATTCGAGCACGTGGTGGCGGCAATTGAGGAGTCAAAGAATTTGGAGGATATCTCAATAGAGGAGCTCTTGGGATCTCTCCAAGTTCATGAACAACGAATGCAAAAGAAGGCTAGTTCCATAGTTTTGGAGCAAGTACTAGAGTCAACATTGACTCTAAGTAATCAAGGCTCACAAGCAAGAGGTCGTGGTCGTGGTCGTGGTAGAGGCAGAGGACGTGGTCCCCAACAACAAACCACTCAAAATCAAGTGGAGATCCAAAGCTTTAGAGGACGAGGACGAAGCAATCGTGGAAGATACACACCTGGCCGTGGAAGCAACAAGAATGTTCAGTGCTATAACTGTCACAAGTTTGGGCACTATGCTTCAAATTGTTGGCACAAAACTGAAGACCAAACCAATCTCGCCGAAGAAACAAATGATGTGGGTAACAACTCTACGCTTCTTCTTGCTAATGATGATTCAAGTGTTGAGAATGATGCTTGGTACCTTGACTCGGGTGCTAGCAACCACATGTGCTGGAAGAAAGAACTTTTCATAGAACTCGCAGAAGGAGTTCATGGAAGTGTGAGCCGCGGAGATTCTTCAAAACTCCCGGTTGAAGGCAAAGGGAAGATTAAAATATACCAAAAGGATGGTAAGCCCGAGTATATTTCCGATGTTTACTATATTCCTAACATGAAAAGTAATATTCTTAGCATCGGTCAATTACTCGGAAAGGGATACAAAGTATATATGGAGAACAACCATCTTTGGTTGAAAAATACAAATGGAGGCCTCATAGCTTGTGTTAAGATGACAAGGAACCACATGTTTCCCTTGCATCTAAACACGAAAGTCGACAAGTGTTTTCAAGGACTCATGGAGAATGAGTCATGGAGGTGGCATCTTCGCTTCGGCCATCTAAACTTCAGCGGCCTGAAGTTACTGTCTACAGCTGGCATGGTACGAGGTCTACCAATAATTGATCCACCGAATCATATTTGTGAAGGTTGTGTAATCGGCAAGCAACCGCGACTTCCTTTTCCCAGTGGAAAATCATGGAGAGCAAGTGTACCATTGCAACTTGTTCACACCGACATCTGCGGACCGATCGATCCCATCTCTTTGGGAGGTAATAGATATTTTATAACTTTCATTGATGACTTCAGTAGAAAGTTGTGGGTGTACACTCTTAAAGAAAAATCTGCTGCCTTTACTACATTCAAACATTTTAAAGCTTTAGTTGAAGCAGAGAGCGGCCACAAGCTAAAAATTCTTCGATCTGACCGAGGTGGTGAGTACACCTCAAATCTGTTTCAAGAATATTACAGGGAGCAAGGTATAAAAAGACAGTTTACTACTGCCTACACACCACAGCAAAATGGCATTGCAGAAAGAAAGAACCGGACCATCCTCGACATGACAAGAACCATGCTCAAAGAAAAGGGATTGCCAAAGCAGTTCTGGGTAGAAACCGTGGCGTGCTCAGCTTATTTTCTCAACCGATGCCCCACAAAGATAGTGAAGAACAAGACACCTCAAGAGGCATGGAGCGGTTACACGCCTAGTGTGGCACACCTGCGAATTTTTGGTTGTGTTGCATATGCTCAAGTACCTGAATTCAAAAGGAAGAAGCTTGATAATCACGGTGAAAAATGCATTTTCATCGGATATAGCGAGGTGTCGAAGGCATACAAGCTCTACAATCCACTAACCAAGAAACTAGTTGTTAGTAGAGACGTTGTCTTTAATGAAGAAGAAGCATGGAACTGGAGCAATGAAGATCAACCAGTGGTGAATGAACCCGATGAGTCTCTGCATGAGGAACCATCACTACGTACACCACCATCTCCTCCACACTCTACACCCTCTCCTGCAAGAGGATCTCCATCTTCTGGGGAAGGTAGTAGCAGCGAATCTACCATGCAACGAGGTCCCATCAAAATGAGAAGCCTCAGGGAGATCTATGAGCAGATAGAAGAAGACGAAGAGTCAAATCTTTTCTGCTTATATGCTGATCATGAACCTCTCACTTTTCAAGAAGCCGTAAAAGAAGATAGTTGGCGAACAGCAATGGAGGAGGAGATCCACGCCATCCAAAAGAATGACACTTGGGAGTTGACAACTCTTCCACAAAATCACAAGGCAATAGGGGTCAAGTGGGTGTACAAGATCAAGCGCACAGCAAATGGTGAAGTTGATCGGTACAAGGCGAGGCTTGTAGCGAAAGGTTACAAACAAAAGTACGGCATCGACTATGAAGAAGTCTTTGCTCCGGTTGCTCGACTGGATACGGTGAGACTATTAATTTCACTTGCAGCTCATCACAGGTGGAATATATATCATTTGGATGTCAAGTCAGCATTCCTCAATGGCGTTCTTGAGGAAGAGGTGTACGTGCAACAACCAGAAGCCTTTCTCGTGAAAGGGCAAGAAGACAAAGTGTACCATTTGAAGAAAGCCTTGTATGGCTTAAAGCAGGCACCACGGCCGTGGAACGCTCAAATTAATGGCTATCTTCATCAAAACGGTTTCATTAAATGTCCTTATGAACATGCCATCAACATGAAGAGGAACCATAAAGGTGAATTTTTCTAATAATTTATCTTTATGTTGATGATTTATTATACATAGGAAGCAGTACCGAGATACTTGCTGAATTCAAGGCGGTAATGTTCAATGAATTTGAGATGATGGATAATGGATTGATGTTCTATTTTCTTGGCATTGAAGTGAAGCAGCAACAAGGAGGATTTTATATCCCAGAAGAAGTACATGAAGGAGATCTTAGAGAAGTTCAAGATGAATGAAATGCAACCCTGTGAACACCCAGTAGCCATCGGAATGAACGATCAAGAGAAGGAGACGGACGTTCGTGATCAACTCTTTCAAAAGTCTAGTTGGCAGCCCTGAGATCAACTTGACGATCACAAGGCCTGATATTACTTATGGAGTTGGACTTGTGAGTCGCTATATGGAGACACCGAATGAATCTCACTGCTAGCTGCGAAGGGATACTAAGGTATATCAAAGGCACACTCAACCTGGGTCTCTCTATGCATATGATGAAAATGCACTAACTAGTTAGTTACTCAGATAGTGACTGGGGAGGTTGCAAAGTGAGAGAAAAAGCACCACAGGCTATGTCTTCTATCTTGGGTCAACTGCATTTTCAATGGACCTCAAAGAAGCAAGGAGTTGTAGCTTTATCTTCATGTGAAGTAGAATATGTGGCCGGCTGCATCTACAGTATGAAGCAATTTGGTTGCGGAACATATTAAAGGAGTTGGATCATCCACAAGAAGACTCGACGTAACTTTTGTGGACAACAAATCAGCCATCCAGCTTGCTAAGAACCCAGTACATCATGGAGGAGCAAACACATA